TAAGCATGGCACAAATTTGCGTTTTCAGAAAGTTACCCATGCGATTCTCCACGAAAGAGACCTTCAGTGTACACTTTTCGCAAAAGTTTTATCTCTTTCGCGAATAAAATTTCATTCAAAAGAGTTTTCATTCGAAAAAGAAATTTACTCAAATAATACCCCCTCAATTCTACGAATGAATGAATTCGCGCGTAAGAAAGATTAAATTGACATGGTTGCTTTCGCAAATTTAATTTAAAAAATTTATTATGCGCGTTACGACGTAGAATTATAATTCTCCAGCGAAATGAAAGACTTTTAAGACTACTTCAGCGTCGAAAAATTTATCAAGCGACAGAAGAATATTAAGATAAAGAAAAAAATAAACAGAGACAATTCACTTTTCTCCAATTTAATTTAAATGATGTTGCCGTGTGCGCTCTGTACATAAAATTATCCTTGCCAATGCAATCTAATCCTCTCTAGTGTTGGCAATTCTCTTCATCTTAGTGTGTCGGAGAATAATTATCCAAATTTTGTTTAATTAAATTCAAGACCTGAGAATATTCTCTCTTGCCAGGGGTAGGAATGAGACTGCTTTTATATTCACCGGAGATTTTTTTAAATGAAACTCTGGCAAGCGTCTTTAGCTGAGATTTCATCGCGAAACAAGCTGGTAATCGCGGAACGAGCGGTGAATTTTAAATCACGATCGGACGAAATAATTCTTCAAGATAATTCAAATTACAGTTCAAGGGAATGAAAGATTAGTCTACTTACAAAATGTTTTTTTCAAAAATTATTTTCTTAAAATATTATAATATTAATATAGTTCAATAGAGAAATGTTTGTCCATAAAATTTTATATTTCTATTTTTTGACATCGCGAATATTTTTCGAGATATATCGAGAAAAGCAATATATGTATAAGGTGTGTGGTTTCATCCCTTGGAATCGTTTTTGGGCAACTAAAAATGTCTAAATTCATCTATTTATTCTTTGTTACATGCTTTCAAAGTTTCATAAAAAATAATTCTTCAAAATAATTCAAATTATAGTTCAAGGGAATGAAAGATTAGTCTACTTACAAAATGTTTTTTTCAAAAATTATTTTCTTAAAATATTATAATATTAATATAGTTCAATAGAGAAATGTTTGTCCATAAAATTTTTATATTTTTATTTTTTGACATCGCGAATATTTTTCGAGATATATCGAGAAAAGCAATATATGTATAAGGTGTGTGGTTTCATCCCTTGGAATCGTTTTTGGGCAACTAAAAATGTCTAAATTCATCTATTTATTCTTTGTTACATGCTTTCAAAGTTTCATAAAAAATAATTCTTCAAAATAATTCAAATTATAGTTCAAGGGAATGAAAGATTAGTCTACTTACAAAATGTTTTTTTCAAAAATTATTTTCTTAAAATATTATAATATTAATATAGTTCAATAGAGAAATGTTTGTCCATAAAATTTTTATATTTCTATTTTTTGACATCGCGAATATTTTTCGAGATATATCGAGAAAAGCAATATATGTATAAGGTGTGTGGTTTCATCCCTTGGAATCGTTTTTGGGCAACTAAAAATGTCTAAATTCATCTATTTATTCTTTGTTACATGCTTTCAAAGTTTCATAAAAAATAATTCTTCAAAATAATTCAAATTATAGTTCAAGGGAATGAAAGATTAGTCTACTTACAAAATGTTTTTTTCAAAAATTATTTTCTTAAAATATTATAATATTAATTTTTATAGTTCAATAGAGAAATGTTTGTCCATAAAATTTTTATATTTCTATTTTTTGACATTGCGAATATTTTTCGAGATATATCGAGAAAAGCAATATATGTATAAGATGTGTGGTTTCATCCCTTCGAATCATTTTTGGGCAACTAAAAATGTCTAAATTCATCTATTTATTCTTTGTTACATGCTGTCAAAGTTTCATAAAAATCCAAATTTTGGAATTTCGCGAGGTTCTCTTACCAGTTATGTACATATGTACACACACTTCGGCCATCTAACATATTATACCCTTCGCTATTCCGCAGACTCTCGGGCCGCATTGTACGCAAATTTAATGCGCGTAATAGCACATGCGCGCACGGCAGGATATTCTAGCCCGGGTAATTCCCGTCAAAATTTCATTCAACGATGCAGGTCGCGATCGTTAGAATAACGCATAACGGGTAACGCGTAAGTCGATATACATGCTCAATCGCTCGTTCGCGTGCACCGTCGATTCACGCGTAATAAAGTTGCGTTGATTTTCCGCCACGCGTGGCATCACTTCGTAGAATTGTCCGGGAAAATAACTTCGTAACTATTTGCCGGATGAAAAATAAAAAAAAGCAAAAGTCAATTATAAATGCAAATTATGAACGAAAAATTTATTCCGCTACACGAACCTGCGGCGTGTAAAATACACGGACTCTTCAAGAAATTAATTTTAAAATAATGAAAAATGCATGAACCTTCCAAGAGATGAATTTTCGTATAATAAAGTGCTTACTTCTCATGCTAGCCCCACCCTCCATGTTCCTGATATGACCTCTAACTTTTTCATCTATACATATATTTCAATTTTCAGGTGTCAATTTTTTCACGATGCAAAGTATCGGGTAAGATTATTATTTCGCAAATTTTCAATTTTTCACACATTTAACCATTTCTTGATTAAGATCAATCAAAATTAATATTGGACGCTAGTGGTGAAAATAAACTTGGCAAAATTGATTTCGACGTAACTAGCAATTTTATTCAATACTTTCACGACGTTTCGATCATTTGGTTGTGGTCCTTATCAAGTGAGAATTCTATAACACAATATTACACAATAGTTTTTAACAATGTTGAAACGTCGTGAAAGTATTGAATAAAATTGCTAGTTACGTCGAAATCAATTTTGCCAAGTTTATTTCTTGATTAATTCTCAAATTAAAAATCTATCGTAAAAAGAAATTATGGATTTACGCGATTTTTTTAGGATCAAGAAATATCTATTACAAAAGATCGAAAATTAAGAAAAAAAAAGTGTGATTGATATTTCTTTTGGCACACATTCCTTTCCAAAAACAATATATAATAAATTTCAAGTTAATCAAAAAATTTCATGCAAGAAAAAGTGTTGTTAGATCGTCTTTGTTGATACAAGCCAGTATGTCGAAGCGACAATTATCAACAGGCGATGTAATAATGGTGAGAAAATGTACTCGTTACAGGAAATTTTACCGGAAATAATATCGCGGCTGTAATTTCACGTCGCGCTGCGTAAAACCCTCTTTGTCGGTCGTCTTGTGTGCGGCAAATAGTAAATAGCTCTTGTTACGTGGCGAGAATTCTGTAGGTTGAAACTCTCTAGAGGATTTACCGCGCCGTTAATTTTACGGGGATACGACTGGTGAGAGCACATGGAACAACCTTCTCGAACGTGGAGCATCCACAGGTTGTCGTCTGACCTAACTCGACGTAACCCGAGTGATTAAGGACGTTGAATCAATGGAGGGAGACCAGGTTTCAAGAGCAACGCTATCTTGCTATCTACTTGTCAAAACATTAGTCAAAGGAAGAAGCTCGACAAATTCCGCGTCGAGATGAAATGTTCAGACTTAACGGCCTGACACTTCTCCTAATAACTTGAAATATCGAACAATATTTCTCCAGAATGATTTGAAATATTGAAGTTATCAAGCTATCAACTGCACGCTTTTCTCTCGTTAAATTACATCCCTTATGTTTCTCTTTGAAGGAGAGTCCGAATAAATCTGCGACTCGACGATCGCGAAAATTACAAGCAATTGCATCGCAAGAAATAATTATTCTCTCGTTCTTGTTAACAGAAATTCCGTCCGTCTTAAAAAAAAAAAAAAAAAAAAAATTACTCTCTAGCTTTTGTAGCGACATTGTACCCTCACAATTCTAAGAACCGTCTTGCAAACGACAGAGACAGCGGAACAAATTATACTTGAGAACAAGGCGTCAATCTTCTCTTTCCAACGTTCTTGCTCGCACTTTGATAAACAGTACTCAACTCAGATACACTTAACGCTTTTGGAGCTGCCAAAAAGTTAGACGGTGCAAACGGCAACATATTTTGTACCTAATAAATTCGTTCAGATGCTTCACCGTTTCTAACCAACTGAAGGTAGGCTCGCGAAGGTGGAATCAATACACGAACCTACAACCGTCTCCACACAATGCTAGCCGGCCAAGCTCGACGAGAGAGAGAGAGAGAGAAGGGTGGGAAGGAGAGAAAGAGAGGGAATGAGGGTGAGGGTGAGAGAGAGATAGTAGTTGTACCATCTTCTCCGCCGACTGTTGCTCAATGCTTGTGTGTGTGTATGCGATATTCTCCCTTTTCTTTCCTGCTCTTCTTTCTGCGTCAATTTTTCTCCTTGCGCCTGATCTTGTCTCCTTTTTATTTTCGGAAATAATGCAAAATCCTGAATCCGGGTGAATTGCCAAAAGCACCCCTTCTGACGGCGCGCCTTCGTTCTGTTCCAGGAAATTCAGCGCCGTCAGTCCATTTTCGAGCCCAGCCAGCGTACATTGGCCGACACAGTTCGGTAAACAACAATTCTCGTTGTGATTTACGGCTTATGCGCTATTCCTCCCTACGAAAATATTCAAGCAAGCAGTATTCAGCCTCCTTCGAACGCGTTCATTCAACATTTTGTTTCCCTTCGTCATCGATTTATCACATCGCCGCACAGTTTATCAAAATTAAGAATGAAAAACGAGACCTTTTTATCCCACCTTTTCCCTATGCTTGATTCTCGGAAATATAAACGCGCAAGTACAAACGTCTCGTTTTACGGGAGAATTCTTGGAAACTTTAGAATCAAAGAGAGAGAGAGAGAGAGTTTGTCTTTTCCCGAAAACGTGCGCAGACAATTTACTAAGACGTCGCGTCTCGAACACAATTTCCAGACAATCAGCATTCACTCCGAATCCTCAAACAAACATACATCTTTCGTGCGTGAATAACGTAAGCTTGAATCTGTTTGATCCGCAGGAATGGGGAGTGTCGGCAGCAACGTGACAGGGACGACGACGACAGAACCGACGACGTTCCTGCCAGATGCAACGCCGACTCTGAGCGAGCGCGAACAGCTCAAAATCGAATTCTACAAAACGTACGACGTCATGACGGGGGTTCGGATCGCCGCGACCCTCGGCGGCTTCTTCAGTTTAATGGTGTTGCTGGTAGTTTACAAGAGCAGGTGATTATCGCGACAATTCAATCGTAATTATTTTAAATAGGAACGATATATTTAATTCGACCCAAACTAGCCGAGAAATTTTTATTTTATTTCCACAACGTTTCGATCATCCGTTTTTGGTCCTTTTCAAGTGAAAAATTCCTTGATAAAAGCGCAGTTAGTTGACACTGTTGTCATGATTATTAAATAATATGTCACATCATATCGTGACTCTGTATAATGAACACATTGACTTGGCGGAATCTTGACTACTCATCAATTTTAAACGAAATACACTACAATGATGAACTTACTCGGAAATATGCTTGATAATGGGGACTAATTTTTGATGCGGATAACATCTAAATGTTTCAATTCTCATATCAAACGATATTTTCAACTAATAATGTTCAAAAGGATTGATGACGTGGAATGGACTGTTGTTCTACTAACAACAGTGAGCTCGTTTACAGACATAATTAAAAAGTTTACCATCTCAGTTAAAAATGGTTAGCCGATTAGAAACAATATCTATTTTAATTAATGATATAAGCGTAACCCAATTTAAATTTATTGACTTCAAACCAAAGGTTCATTAAAAATAGACTCCAATGCGTATATGTCATAATTTTACTTAAAAGAATTTTTTATTGTTTTTTTATATTTACTGAAGAAGGCTGAGGTAACAGCCGAAACGTTTATTTTTTATTATCATTGTATTTACTAAGAAATAAATTAATTATGTGTTGACATTACATCTCTCACTAATTTAATATGCTCGTTATAGTTGGCCCTGTCTTTCTAAATCTTAATTTTATAATATTACACGAGCCTTGTCTTTAAATATCTAATTGTATTTTTATTATTTAAATAATATGATTATCGGAATTAAAAAATTTTTTTTAAATAAATTTTAATTCAGGCATAGTCATGGAAATTGAAGCGTTAAATAACTTATCGTACACATGCAATATTTTTAAAAAATATATTTTAAAATTAAAATTAAAATTAAAAAATTCCGATAATCATATTGTTTAATAATGACAACAGTGTCAACTAACTGCGCTTTTATCAAGGAATTTTTCACTTGAAAAAGACCAAAAACAGATGGTCGAAACGTTGTGGAAATAAAATAAAAATTTCTTGGCTAGTTTGGGTCGAATTAAATATATCGTTCCTATTTTAAATACCATTAGCGACGTTTTAAGTATTTAATTTAATTGTAATTATTTTACATTTCTTAGATTTTTCAAATTCGGACCCTACATCTAAAAACTGAGAAAAATTATTATTTTTTGTTTTTTTTTATAAATACTTGGTACATTTTCAACTTTGATACTGTATTGATAATTTTTGGAGCTTTAATGTTCGATACGTTGATTATTATACGCCATCAAATAAAATTTTGTTTAAAATTAAGAAATCAATTTTTTATATATCTATCTTTCTCTATTTAATTTATTGATTTTCTCTACATTTTATATGTATTTATATATTTATTATTATTTATTTATCGATGTAAAGTGCAATCTGTAAAAAAGTTGATTAGTTAAAAAAATATTAATTCCAATTGTCATCCAAAAATGACAGCTTTTTTTTAGATGACCTTACCAAATGTCACTTATACGTGACACCCTTATTTTTCCTATGCGGGGCATAAAAACTTTCAAAAATGCAAAAATGATTCCTCAATTTAATATAAAAAATTCAAACAAAAAATTTTTTCAAAATAAATTTTAATTCAGGCACAGTCATGAAAATTGAAGCGTTAAATAATTTATCGTACACGTGCAATATTTTTAAAAAATATATTTCAAAATATAGTTTAAAAAAATAAATTATTATAGACGAGAAATGTAATAGGTCATGATATTTTCATTAAAGGCGTTAAAATGGAATTTGAACGCTTGATATATTTAACAGGTGCAAAGCGAGCAAACAACTGGAGGACCCGGCATTAACCGCGGCGGCGGCGGCGGCAGTCGCCGAAGCCGAGGCTGAGGAACGAGCACTCGCCGTCGCTCTCGAAGCAATCGCCAGGTTACCACCTAGGCCAGGTCGCGGTCCAAGGAGGTCGTTATGCGTCGAGGTAGTCTATAATAGCCTAAATATATGCTCTCTCTCTCTCTACTAAGTAAAGCTAGTGCAGGGTGTTCTCCAGACCTCACTTGACTTTTTCAGATTTTCCAAGACCAGAAATTTATTTTTTCCCTGACCTTTTAGTATTTTTTCCAAATATATAATTTGCATATATCTATGTATATGATAAATCAGTTAAATGTTGAATTATGAAATTCTTGAGATATTTTTGCCAACAATAAAAAGATTCATTCGGAAGTTAAAACAAAAATTTTAATCAATTATGCAATTTATATTATGTACGATAATCGAAACAAACGTGTCATTAAAAACTATTTAAATGATCACCTTTTTATTTATATTGTATCAAATTTTTTAGTTTTGTCTCTATCTTTCTCAAACACATTGAAATAAAATAACACGACGATGAAAACATAAATTAACGAACACGCTATAGATGAATCGATTTTTAACAACGCAGAAAATTAGCGCGCTGGGAATCAAGGAAAAGTTTATATTTATTTAATAAAAAATTTCAAATTGAGACAAATATAGAATAATGTAAAAAAATCTAGATAAATAGTAAAATTTCCTGACTTTTTCACTGACAATTCCAGTTTTATAAAATTCCCCTACAATGCCCGGTTTTCCAGATTTCCCTGACCGCTAGGCACCAAACGAAATAAATATCTCTCTTACAGAATATAATAAATAAAATAAATTAATAATAAACTATAAATAATATTTCTCATACATATCTCTCTTTCTCTCTCTCTCTCTCTCTCTGTCCCTATCTAAAATTCGATATTCTTAAAATTTATTTGTAATTTCCTGATAATTTATTAATTTTTTAATTTTAATTTTTTATTTACTTTTTTTTGTTAAGCACCGGATAGTAAATAGAACTATGTTTAAACCAGATGAACCAGCCTCATTCACCCGTGGTGGCGCCTCGCTTTGCCTCGGTCGGAGGTGGATACGACGCCCTGCTGGCACCGCCAATCAGGCAACCGAGGTTGGCTCCCCCTGTCGATCACAGAAGATGTAGCTCGGTCACCTGTAGCAGCACTGGAAGTAGTTATCTGGAACGAAGGGGTTCAGCCATGGTGATGCCGTGCCTTCCGCCACCTCCATCCTTCCCGCGTCACGCAGCCTATGATGAGCCATGGGACTTATATTACCCCATCGATATCCAGGTAGACTTGACATTCGCGATCGCGATTCTTTTAATTGGAAAATAAATTGCATTCCTCGTCTGCTCTCTTGGCCTACTCTATAATTATTTTTCTTCGAAACTTGCCAATAACATAGATAATTCAATTACCTATTATCCTTATATTTTTTTCAATTTTTTTAAGACTAAAAAATCCCCTTCTTAAGGAGACATAAATATTAAATTAAAGCTAATTTTTTACTAATTATAAATATATATATTTTATGATGTAATCATAAAAATATTGTTTTCAATAAAGGGACTTTTAGTCCATTTCGAGCATCATTCTTTACTATGATTTTCTCGATAATTTTTTCAATTTTTTAAGACTAAAAAATCCCCTTCTGAAGGAGACATAAATATTAAATTAAAGCTAATTTTTCACTAATTATAAATATATATATTTTTATAATGTAATCATAAAAATATTGTTTTCAATAAAGGGACTTTTAAAGTCCATTTCGAGCATCATTCTTTACTATGATTTTTCTCGATAATTTTTTCAATTTTTTTAAAGACTAAAAAATCCCCTTCTTAAGAAAACATAAATATTAAATTAAAGCTAGTTTTTCACTAATTATAAATATATATATTTTTATAATGTAATCATAAAAATATTGTTTCCAATAAAGGGATTTTTAAAGTCCATTTCGAGCATCATTCTTTACTATGATTTTTCTCGATAATTTTTTCAATTTTTTTAAAGACTAAAAAATCCCCTTCTTAAGAAGACATAAATATTAAATTAAAGCTAGTTTTTCACTAATTATAAATATATATATTTTTATAATGTAATCATAAAAATATTGTTTCCAATAAAGGGATTTTTAAAGTCCATTTCGAGCATCATTCTTTACTATGATTTTTCTCGATAATTTTTTCAATTTTTTTAAAGACTAAAAAATCCCCTTCTTAAGAAAACATAAATATTAAATTAAAGCTAGTTTTTCACTAATTATAAATATATATATTTTTATAATGTAATCATAAAAATATTGTTTCCAATAAAGGGATTTTTAAAGTCCATTTCGAGCATCATTCTTTACTATGATTTTCTCAATAATTTTTTCAATTTTTTTAAAGACTAAAAAATCCCCTTCTGAAGGAGACATAAATATTAAATTAAAGCTAATTTTTCACTAATTATAAATATATATATTTTTATGATGTAATCATAAAAATATTGTTTTCAATAAAGGGACTTTTAAAGTCCATTTCGAACATCATTCTTTACTATGATTTTCTCGATAAACCTAAGCTCAGTTAAATCGTTAAGATATCCGTTCGCGTAGGAAATTTATTTTCGACGAAGTTGAAATTTATCTTCCGTTATGATCAGGTAATACAGCCAACTCCGGATTTATCGCCGTGCGGTAGCGAGGTCGGTCTATACGCCGGTGCGGTCGGCAACCTTATGGCTGGGTCGTCGGGCAGACGGGCGCCTTTGGCGTCGATGGGCAGCGTGGACCCGCCCGAACCGGACTCCAGGTCGTTCGGCTCCGATTCTGTGTTCCTTAAGGACGAGGACGAGGAGCACTGCATCGACACCGAGGACGAGGTCTCGGGCTTCTCCACGGACTCGGACGCGCCCGGGCCGAGTTGTCGGCGTTTCCTACGGGTGCCTTCTAGGAAAAAACGAACCCTCGACAAGTGGGATGGATGCACGGGCTGCGTGCCCAGACGACGGACCGGTAGCAAACCCTGCCAAGAGTGCTTGACCATCAGTGCCGCCGTCGAAACTTCCAGGTGAATTCCCTCGCTTGCGGATTTTCGAACGGAGAGAGAAAGAATTTCAATTTCAACGCGCTATAGAAAGAATCAGACGCGCGAACGGCGATGTGTCAATTTCAAGGAAAATTCATTTTTTTTATTCAAACTGATTGGTTGTGCACACAATACAAAGTTTTCTTGATTCGGTCCTGATAAGTAATTAAGTTTAAAAAATCTTCACAATTAATTGTTGATCGCCAGTGATAAAATTTTCACAAATAATAAGATGCAATTTAATTCGACCAAAAACATTTGACAGTAGCTAATTGTCGATTGACAGATTGTCGATATGACAAAAAGACCACAATGTCGAAACGTAGTGTGTACTTATTTTCAATAAATGAATAGCCAGTTTTTGGTCGAATTAAATTGCATCTTATTAATTAAATTTAATCTCAATTTGAGATTTTTATTTTATTAAACTCCTTTGATCTTTCTGATTTTTTTTCGCCTACATTCTCCTAGGGGTGAGTTTGTTAAAATAAAAATTTTGCATTGAGATTTAATTTAATTACTTCGTATAGAGTCAAGAAAAATGTGTAGTTTGTACATAACTAATCAGTTTCAAGGAAAATTAATTTTTCAAAATAAGAAGTTTTCCTTGAAACTGATGCACTACTACAGATGAATTCGCTCACTTGCGGATTTTTGAACGGAGAGAGAAAGAATATAAATTTCAATGGACTAGAAAGAATTAGACGCGCAAACAGTTATGTGTCAATTTCAAGGAAAATTCATTTTTTTATTCAAACTGATTGGTTGTGCACGCAATACAAATTTTTCTTTATTCGATCCTAATTAAATTAAATCTCAAATTGAAATTTTTATTTTATTAAACTCCTTTGATCTTCCTGATTTTTTTTCGCCTACGCTTCTAGAGAAAAGTTTATTAAAATAAAAATCTCGAATTGTGAAATTTAATTTAATTACTTTGTATTGATGCCAAGAAAAATTTGTGCTCTCTGCATAACTAATCAGTTTCAACGAAAATTAATTTTTCAAAATAAAAAGTTTTCCTTGAAACTGATGCACTACTATCCGCGTTAAAATTTAAATTTGTAATTTCACATTGAGTCTTATACTATAATTTTTAAGGGAGATATTTTTTTGTATAGAATCATCGTACATATATTCACGCAAAAAACTATAATTAAACTTTGCTATCGTAATTAATAATAACGAACTCATGTATAATAATGATCAATAATCACGGGTCTTTCGATCAGTTTTAATTTCTATCTAGCTACAATAATTATATTCTTTTCCTTCCTTTTTTAGTAATTTAAATATCAAATAAACCTTTTTCGTTTTTATTAATAATTCGAAGAGAATGTTTCGATCTATTCTAGCTTTAATTGTATTATCTTCTCTCTTGTCTCGCAATTTCACAAAGAGCCTTCTTCATTTTTTTTCACTAATCAATAAACTTTGTATAACAGGTCGCAACCAGCCTCGACGACCAGTAGCAGTCAGAGTAGCGTGGAATCTCCACCGTGTTCACCGCCGATCGAGCTAAAGCATAGACCACCACCAGCGCCATTGTCATCAATCCCGCCAATATGGTCCCAAGAAACGCTCTTTTAGGACGCGTTTTTCATAGTGAGCAATGTCCTTCGACCTGTTTTTACCGGAGCTAAATGCAGAATGTCGATATTCGAGGAAATCATTTGCCCGAAAACGTGAGCCTTAACGCTTCATCCGATTCGCCCTACATATATTATAGTAATCTCTCTCTTCGATTCTTTCATCGTCATTAAATGATATTTTAATACGGTGGAATCCATCAAACTGTAACGCAACCGATCGTCGATATTAAATTGTTAGCAAAATTTCTGATGGCAAAATTCAAAACAAGCACTACGCTATTAGATATTATAAGAGAAGAAAAAATCAACGAAGAGGAAGCAAGAGAGGAACATGGGACACGTGGAAGAACGACGGGAAGTATTTTCGCTCGCGGAGAAATATCGGAGATTTTCGATATTACGGCGAGACGAGACTCGTATCCGGAACCGGAGCAAACCCATCTTGAGGCGTTCGGGATCGAAACGAATTTCACGTCGACTGTATAGTCGACTCTTCGTGGCAAATAGTCGGGACAGATTATTCGCCGGTTTCCGAAGAAACGCGCCCGCAGCGAGAAGACGCTCGCAAAGCTCTACCCGAGATTTTACTATCTGTCGACGTATCTCTCAGAAACGTCTGTCTACTTTCCAAGACAAGTTGACAGACAATTGCGTACAATCAGATTGATCTGAAATGTCAATTTAATTACACAGCACAGATTTATATCTGCAATCGTATAATACTTGATCGCGATCTTATTTGCTCGGGAAGAAGATCAGATGGTATTTTATTATTTTCCTCAACCATCAAGCATTACTTTGAGACACACGTCGGCGCACATTCGTGATCCATTTAACAACGAAAGCAAGCAAATGCACTTCCTCACTTGGACATTCCAATTGGCGTCCGCGAACGCCGATCGAGAGAAATCGCAACACAGAAAAAACAGTATCCTTGAAAGAATGCAAATATGCTTTGAATCAAGTATATTTTATCCTGATAATAGCGTCAAATATAAATAATTTTGGATAAAGGATAATTGATCCTTAAAACAAAGTGCAAAATATTCTTGGTTGGAGCTGAAATTTACTTATAAATATTGCAAGGACAAGTGACAAGTGAGCATCGGATATAAGCGGTACTTTCAAGTATATATAATAATTCTTAGTTCAAATGTGACTAAGTTTGTTTTTACCATATGCGATTTTTAAAACAAGAATATATCTTAAGGATAAAATATACTTTACACAAACTTATTTATTATTAAGGCAAACGAAAATTTGTGATTACAAAGAGCATTCTATGCTTAAATCAATCAAGAATAAAAATATACTTGAATCAAGGATTCCTTTTTTTCTGTGAAGATTTCATATCTGGGATTCAGGGGAAACGCAGGGTGATCTATATACATATATCGCACAAAAGGAAAAAAATCCGAGAAACGAGCGGAGAAACTCGGTGTTCCAATCGACCAGGGTGACAGCGCGCGAAACTCAGGAGAACTGTTTAGAGGGAACCGCGACGAGGGAGATTGACGGATGTCGTGGAGGGAGATAGGCAATTATTTTTATACAAGCGCGACGATAATCAAGCTCGTTTGGAAACTGGATCGTGATGCTTCTCGCGGAAACAATAAAACAACACGCGCAACACTCGATTGTATTACAACATCGGTGTAACTTGTAACATGTGTGATTGTCAACGACGCGAGAGAGGCAACGAAGAAAAGGGAAGCGAGAGAAAGAAGGGAGAAGCGGCATCTCTTTTTCCGGATTCCGGACCGTTTCGAACCGTCGAATCAGGATTCTTCATCGAGAACCGATTCGCCGGTTTTTCGGATCCAACCCGTTTTTCTTTAAACGCGAGGAGAACAAAACGTATTTCTATTTCGTGTAATCTTGTAAGCTCTGTAAGGTTTGGGTGTACGTGTACGTGTCTATAACCCTCTTGCGTACGATAGATAAACATCGTGCTCGATGGAGGGGAACCGGAAACAGGACGATTAATCGAGGTTTCTTTCGCGAGTTGTTTTTATTTTATTTTATTTATCAGTCAACTCCGCGAGAAGCTTTTTTAACAAATTTCTATCAAGTCAGAATATCGATCGATTGGATATTTCGCAGAAATACTCCGTAATCAAGCCTGTAACATGTCGAACCTTTAGTGATAAAATTCACTTTGAGGAAAAAAATTACAGAAAATTGTTTCCGTTCTTCGCACCCGTCAATTCAGTGATATTAGCTCGCGAGAAGCTCGCTCGAGTGTAGAAAATCGAATTTAAAGAAAACAAAAAATTAAGAAAGAAAGAGAGAGAGAGAGAGATACAGTAAAAAGCGAGACGTCTTTATCGTTGACGAGAATAATTTATATGCGTCGCGCGTCTATTTTCGGTATAAAAGAATGTAGTTTAATCCGAGAGGGAGTTCGTACCTCTCTTCTATCTCTACATCTTGAGGACTTTACCGCGAGAAGCTAATATCACTACCGGCGAACCCCCTCCAGGCACATGACGAGATAAATGAATAAAAATAAGAGAGCAGAAAAAAAACATGCAATTTACATAAAAGCAAAAACAAGCGCGTAAGGACTATCTACCGTTGTTCTAGCCAGGAGTTTGTACAGTAGACAAATAAGAAACGAACAACCGACAAGTTATTATAATAAAATGAGAATAAAATGAAAAGAGAGAAAAAAAAATATATATATATATATGTATATATATATATATTTATATATATATATATATATATATATATATATATATATATATATATAATGTAACGCGGCGCCGACGCACGCAGTGCTCTGCGAACGTTACCTTTAGATAGGTGTACATATACGATCGTGCGTTTTATGACGGCGAAAAAAAAGCCCCTTCCCCGATTGACAGAAAACCGGCGGAAAACGAGACTCTAAAGACGTCGTCTATACGCGAGGAAGAGACTTTATATTATATTGGCTGCGTTCCAAACTTTGCCCCCCTTTTCCACCCCGGATGGTACGAATCCAACAAACCGCTAACGCAAGAAATACCGAGAGAATGTATATTCGGGCGACTACAAGACACCCGTGTAATTCCCTTTAGTAATTTATATACGGCTATCCGTTATTCTCGATCATTAAGCGAAAACGTCAACCTTTTGCGGACCTAAGAGATTACAAGAAAGTTTCTTGGATACAAAGAAAGAGAGAGAGAGGTGTCCAAACTTTCAGGGATACACATACGATTGATAAAAGTTTCATGATAATTATAGGGGGAAAAATCCCTAATTGGATACCGTATGCCTTATTGAATCATTGTTATATATATGTATAAAAAGCTCTCAATAATTCGCTTGCGATTTAAGTGACGGGGGTTAAGTTTTCGTGAACGCAGCTGTAGGAAAAAAAATAAAAAAACAGAATTATTAACGCGGAAGAGGTGCGCTCTGTTGCACGTCAATACACTGATGAATTTAATTGCAATGTTTAAAATTGTCAAATTTTTTTAATTTTGAATCTTTAAAATTTTTCAATAATTTTCCATTTTGACATTTTCGTTTTCTTCTGAAATGATACAATTATTAGACGAAATATCTATATAATATATTAAAACCACTCGAGAATCTTTCAAGAAAGATCGCAAGAAATCTGACGCGTAATCAGCTGATAGTTGTCAAATAGCACATCGACACGCCGACAAATTTAATTCCGATCTTTAAAATTGTCAAACTTTTAAATTTTGTATCTTTAAAATATTTCAACAAGTTTCTATTTTGACATTTTTGTTTCTTTTTAAAATGACACAATTGTTAGACAAAAAATATCTATTTGAAACCACTCGAGAATCTTTCAAGAAAGAACGCAAGAAATCTGACACGTAATCAGCTGATAGTTGTCAAATAGCACGTCGACAAATTTAATTCCGATCTTTAAACTTGTCAAATTTTAAATTTTGTATTTTTAAAATATTTCAACAAGTTTCTATTTCGACATTTTTGTTTCTTTCTAAAATGACACAATTGTTAGACAAAAAATATCTATTTGAAACCACTCGAGAATCTTTTAAGAAAGAACGCAAGAAATCTGACGCGTAATCAGCTGATAGTTGTCAAATAGCACGTCGACAAATTTAATTCCGATCTTTAAATTGTCAAACTTTTAAATTTTGTATCTTTAAAATATTTCAACAAGTTTCTATTTCGACATTTTTGTTTCTTTCTAAAATGACACAATTGTTAGACAAAAAATATCTATTTGAAACCACTCGAGAATCTTTTAAGAAAGAACGCAAGAAATCTGACGCGTAATCAGCTGATAGTTGTCAAATAGCACGTCGACACGCCGACAAATTTAATTCCGATCTTTAAATTGTCAAACTTTTAAATTTTGTATCTTTAAAATATTTCAACAATTTTCTATTTCGACATTTTTGTTTCTTTCTAAAATGACACAATTGTTAGACAAAAAATATCTATTTGAAACCACTCGAGAATCTCTCAAAAAAAACGCAAGAAATCTGACGCGTAATCAGCTGATAGTTGTCAAATAGCGAAGCTAATTTTTGCGCGATGATTCCTCAATTATGAAATGTATAAACTCCCTATCTTTTCGTTCTTATTAGGCTTTCAACGACAGGGATCGAAATTCTCAATGATAAATAACGTGCAACATGTCGCTCCAGTAGTCGCGCGAGACAAGGAGCTTGAAAACTTCGCGAGTGCTGCCGAATTGCCAAAAAAAATGTAACAATCAAACAGTGTCTAGTTGAAGTATAAGACGCAAAAGGAGAAGCACGAATACATGGATAACGAATGCATGCGGATATAATAAATAAATGCGCGAATGAGAATGCGTGGATGTGCGTGCGCGAGCGCGAGTAGTTTAGCGCGACTTTAGGCAGACGGAACGTTATATAAAATAAAATGCGTGTGTATATGTACATAAAAACAAACAAAAAAAAAAAGAAAAAGTGAGAGGGGCGGGGCGAGTATGCGGGAGACTTTTTAGAGACTGTACACGGAGTTTGTGTGTATATCGATTGATTTTTAGCGTCTACTACAACGTTCGTACAACCACGTGAACCTTCTCTCGGTGCCTTTCTGCCGCACTTCATCCATCGTCGTTTAGAAAGATATATATATACACTCTCTTCTATGACTATCCTCTCTCATCTCACAGCCACTCTTTCCCTTCACACATCTCTCTTCCCTCTCGTATATATTGACTCCTTCTCAGGAGTGTTTCCGCGCGACGTCGCCAGGAATCTGATCGTTCTAAAAGTTTGCGCGCGTTTTCTCCTCTCTTTTCCGATTCGATTTTATCTCCGTAGCTGAGATGTTTGAAATCATTTTTTTACGAAACGAAAAGCGAAGGAAAAGTAGAAAATAATGACAGATAAAAGCACATTGCAATAGATAAAAAAAGATGTAATTATAACATCGTAATAATACAAGAATTATCGTCAAATTATTCGTTCTATTTAAATTTCAAGATTCGCTTAAAGCTTTTTAATCTTATTTATTAATGAAACTAAAATTGTCTCTCAGCTACTTTGATATTCGCGAAATGTCGGGACAAATAATTATATCTTAATCGATCGTCTCGGTTCAATAATAGCGCTTTGTTCGAAAACAGTATTATTAGCCTGTGTATTTTTGAAAATTAAGATAGAAAAAAGGAAGAACCGCAAAATGGTGCGGTCGCACGGAACCTCTCTCATATTAATGATTATAGACCTTCGTACTTTTATATAATTTTTCTACTCTTTGACATTAGATACTTTAAGAGTAAGGAGCCGTTACTAGAACTCGCGCCTAGACTCACTAAGCACTTCTATACATATGACTGTGCAATCTTCTCTCAACTCGGATTCCTCATTTCAGAATATCACATTCTCTTCCCGTTGATTGATACTAACAGAGACGTTCATCGTTAAAAGTAATAATTATTATAAAATTATCTCTTTAGAGTATTAAAAATATTATTTAAGTTTCTCGAGTG